TGCCTGACCCCCACCCCCCATATGGCTGCCTACCATTCCCCACCTGCCTCCCAAGCCTCCAGTGCACATTTGTTGGGTTAGCAGACTATAATGCAGTTCTGCCTCCTCTGTCATAATGTGCTGCTTCCAAGAATTAGGGTCTGTGTCCCAGGGATTGCTGTCACAACTTAAGTGATTGTTAATACAGGCAACCCCCGCTTAGCGCTCTTAATTGGTTCCGGAAAAACTGAGTGTTAAATGGAACAGCATTAAGCAAAACCCATTTTCCCATAGGAATTAATGTAATTAAATATAATTTGTTACCAGGGCGGTACTGTTGGTTCCCTCCATGCTGGGCGGTGGGCGTCACAGCCACAGTCGTGGTCACTCCAGCCCAGCTCCCCCTTCTCCCTGCTGGCACAGCCCAGCCTAGCTCTGTAGAGCCCCTGCCAGTTCAGGCCCTGTGCTCTTGCAGGCCTGCCCTGGGCCCCTGCTGTTTCTGGCCCTGGGGCACCAGCATGGGCCCCACACTCACGCCCATCTGCCCACTCACTGCCACTCGCCTCCCTGCCTGCTGCCACCATTTCCCTGCTTTCCTGCCCACTGCCACTGTTTCTTCCCACCTGCCTGCCAGCTGCTCTGGCACCATGTACCAGAGCATTATAATGAAACTCACTGAGCACTAAGTGGAATCAGGTATGAATTTAAAATGAGCGCTATAGCTACATAGCGCTAAGCAAAACAGCATTAAGTAGGGGTTGCCTGTATTCCGTTGTGCTGCATGCAGCTCATGTCTTTCAGAAGACAAAATAATATTTCTTTGTGTCTTAACTTGCTACCTTTTTGATGCAACCTGACAGAAAGCTAGTAACACTTTTCAACCAAAGCTGGAAACAGAAGTAGGAGATATTCTTTCTCTTGGTCATTATAACTGCAAGGTATAGATTTCCACAAACTGTGAGACTTGTCTCCAGGCTCTGTTATCAACATCTTCATTCTAGAGTTGACAGGCTGATTCATCTGATATAGAGCATGCTTGTCTCATCTTACTTATTACAGTATACGGCATTTGTTATGAATTTTCCTCTGCTGTTTTATTTTTTTTCTAGCATGTGAGATTGAGTCATCAGTAATCCATTTAGACCATTTAGACACTTATATTGTGGGAGCATTTTTCTCCATTGTTGGGCCTATCACAGAAGAGGTGGCAGTCTCTTGGACTGTGCTGCATAAGCTGATATATCTGACTGTGAAGAAGCAACTATCACATGCGTTGGTCAGAACTCCATGAGTCTCTTTTCAGTTGCCCTGCACGTTGGTTTGTGTACATGAACAGCCAGATTCTGTTCTACCTATTATGTGTTTAAGGATGTAGGCACTACAGGCAGTACTGTTCCTCATTGAGTCCCTGAGAAACAGTTAAAGCAAGAAGTAGGTGGGTCTTTTTCTTGCTTACTAGTTTTTTGTAACTCAATCTCAATGTGTTTTGGTGTTTTTAAAAAGCACATGCATCAGTGGATTTTCAGGGACTCAAGCAGGGAATTACACTTAGGCACCTAAGTTTACTTATGCACCTAATAGAATAGATTCTAGCCACAAAATTAGGTTCTGTTTTGTTTTTTTCTCTGTTATTACATTTCTTTCCGTTGTCCTCATTTTCACTTTAATTCAGGGGGAAAACAAAATAATAAAACCATGCATAACTTCAGTTTCAATACTGTTGTTCATCAAGTCGTTCAAGCCCATGGAATTGATTGGGTTTAAGCCCCTGATTAAAGTTATGAGTGTGTTTCAGTGCTTTGCTAAATTAGGGCTTTTGAGAGACCTATTAGTGCAGTCAAGGAAAATTCACTTATTGCTTCTGTGTATGTAGCTTTGGAAAGTGGAGAATATTATAAAACAGGGATAAATTCTAAATGAAGTATGGGTTTTTTATAAGCATAGAAAACCCAAGTAGTTTAAATATAATTTTGTATTGACTGTTTTCATGTGCCCCCCTTCTTATACTTTGTGCTGGAAAGTCTGAACATATATTTGCTGGAAAAGACATTTTGGACCCATAACAGATTTATTTGGTAATGAAATACCAACAAATTCAGTAGTTTACTTGCACTACCTGAAAAATGATTTCCCAATGATATAACCTCAACTTTGTTAATTAGGAATGTCAAAGGAATTTGTGAAGGCTAATGGACTGTGTGCAATTAAGTGGAAACTTAAGTGCAAACAGTAATTGGACAATATTAAATACCGAATATAAACAAACTTTTTGTTCACAGACAATTGGAAAACAGAAGCAGGCTAAATTTACAGAGGAATGGTTTTCAGACGATTTGTTCAGTTCCCTTTGGGATCCTGAATCCAGATGTTTCTGAAAGTGCTTTGTCATTAAAAGGAAAATAATCTATATTTTGTTTTATAGGAATAAAGTGAAAGTTGAATACTACATATCTTAATTATTTATGAACTTAAGTGACAGGACAAGCTAAAGCTTAAATGATGAACAGGGAAGTATTACAATAAGAATTCTCAGTACAGTCCTGTAAATTTAAATCTATCACACAGCACAAGTGCTGTTCTTTGTTCTTCTGAGTTCAGATCAATTGTCTACTAGGTTTGTATTATGTTTTGGATTCTAAAAGACTAGAAGGAAGTTTCTGTATGGATGAAGTTAAATCTGAATTTCTGTTCGAGAGGGTTGTTAGTTTTCAGTTCCATGGAGCTTCAGCTGATTAAAAGAAGAGCTTTCCTGCAAGCTTTTTTAATATGGCCTAAGAAAGTTTGTATTTTGTACATCTCTTCCAGCTCAGCTACAAAGGTTACAGGAGGATATTGACAATCTTCGTGAAGAAAAAGAGAATGAAATTTCAAGCACTCGGAATGAATTGCTCAGTGCTCAGGATGAAATCTTGCTTCTCCAACAAGTGGCAGAAAAGGCTGCATCAGAACGAGACATTGATATTGCTACCTTGCAAGAAGAGCTGAAGAAGGTGCGGGGTGAGCTTGAGCGATGGCGGAAAGAAGCCTCCGAATATGAAAAAGAAATTGTCAGTTTGCAAGCCAGCTTTCAACTCCGATGTCAACAGTGTGAGGTTCAGCAAAAAGAGGAAGTTAATCGTTTACAGGGTAAGAAGGCAGTATCTCAAACCAGTGCTAACAGCAATAGTTGCCTTAAATTGTCTGAAGACCTGGATTCTAGAATTAAATTACTCAGGTTTTTATTCACCTGCACTTGCTTTCCTATCAGAGTCTATTGCATGAAAAAACAGGGTAGTAATTTAACTGGAAAGTTTAAGTAAATAGACTACAAAACAATTTTGTACATCTGTTTAGTAAATTTTGTCCTTCTGAGAGCAGTTTTAAATTCTGCCTTAATTACTCCTTGAATATATTGGTCATAGTTAAATGTGGGCACATATACATGTGTTCTTTAATGTGCAGTAGACTAATTTACTGCACATTAAAGTATCACATAAGAAAATGTGACATTATGCTAATGCACAGTAAAATAGTCTACTGCACATTAAGTGTCACTTAAACACTGCAGATGCGCTACTGTGCATTAGAGCAGCTTAATGTGCATTAATTTAGTACCTCATATTGGAAGGCATATTTACATGTGCTCCAGGGTTAGTGAGGGGCAGCACTTTAATTGGAGAAACTCTGAGGCCTGCTCTAATCAAAGCACTGCTGCATCTCCTGTATTAGTGTCCCCCTGCTTAAAAATAGTGGTGGGGGGGACTTGAACTAAAGTTAGTTCGAGCTTTAGGTCATGCTACCCATTGCCATTTTTAAGTGTGGAATGCTGATACATGAGACACAGGAGGCTGCTGGAGCATGGCAATTGCCACACTCCAGCAGACTTAAATAATCAAGTCTGCTCCAACATGCTGGAATTTCAGCGTGTCGGAGCAGCCTCTGCACTTGTGTATAGGCGCTCTAAATTTAGTGCGCGTTAGAAAAGGCTCATTAATGCATGTGTAGACATGCCCTGTGTTTTTAATAGCTAAAGAGGAGAAAATATGGTGGCTGAAAAGCCTGGCAGACTTGCAAGGCTATTATAGGACTGCAGAGTGCTTAGCTAAGGCTCATTGTAGTGTCATCATCTAGACATTTATATTAAAGTCCTGGAGGGTTCACTAAGTTTCAGACTAGTTCTTCTGTCAGTTTAAGAATTTAATCCAGTTTTTTGAAGGCATGTATCAATTTCCATATGGTTGCACTTGTCTAGAGTAATGCAGGTCACAAAGTCCTGTTGTATTTCCTAGTTAAGGGAATCTAGCTAGGTAGCAGATGCCCAGGAGAGATGAGACCAGTCCAAAATCTGATACATTCAGGCCTTTCTGCAAGACCTTTTTTTTGTTTTCCCTTAAAGCTTTTCTACCCTAACCATGGTGATACTTAGGATAGCTACTACTACTTTCGTACTGCAAGAGGAGCTTCTTTGATCAAGGAATTGAGAGAGTCAAGGACTCTCTGAGTCCTTAGAGTTGACTCTGCAACAGGGGAATCACATTCTACAGAAGTTCCAGTACAAAAAATGTCATAGTTTTGCCCACATAGTATTGCACGACACTAGTACCTTTCAATCTGTACCCAAGTAGTGGTGTTCCTTGTGATTCTTAGTTAGAGGCACAAGTGCTAGGAAGTTGGCCATATTGATACCATTTGGAAAAAAATTTGAGGAGCTGCAGGATGCAGATAACAATATATAATGATAGAGCATACTGCTAACTCTTAGTCCTGAAACTCTTTCAGTGGTGTGTGGATGGAAGTTAGCACTTATAAAATGCACTTAAAATTCTTCATTGGTTATTCTTTTTGAAATTCTCTGAGGAAGTTTCGTATAATCTGATTCTAATCTGTTTTTGTTCCATCTACTGGACTTGTATAACTTTGTTTTATATTAATTATATTTGTCACTGATGATCAAAAGGTTGAATTTTGCTTTTAATGCTTGCTTTGAATGTGTTAACACTTAGCTCTGGGATGTGTGTGGTGTATAGTGACTGCCAATAGCACCTTATTTCCTGAATTGTACCAGTGGTGGTAATCGTGTGGCTACAAAAGGAGACTAACTTTGCCACAGTTTTTTAATTTAAAAATGGTAGTGATAGACTTAAAGGCTGATTTTTATATAAAGTTCATAGATGCTAGGGTCAGAAGGACCCCCTGCCCTGGGCAGGAAAGAGT